CCGGGAGCACGCAGACCGGGAAGAAATCAGGAAGGAGGAACGCTGTGCATTTCTTCGAAATTTAACAAGATAAGCACCTAAAACAATTATTTGTTTGCTCGACATTGTAGCAAAGGTGTGTCAGTTGAACCTTTACTTAATAAATGCACTTCAATGGTCAAATCAGCTGCATTTCGCTGGGGCGGTGCAGAAAAAAGAAGCTGAGTTGACAGTTGCTCCAAGTGAGCAGAACGAAGATGGCAGACTCTAGCAAGCTGATTGTGTCATTAATAGCCACTTTTACCTATTACATGACACAACGTCATGTTATACTTCTCGAGTGCCATCTAGTGGCTGAAAATGGTAGTGTTCAACCAGTTTGACAAGACTGTCAACAAGGAAGAGGGCCGGCAATGGAGGAGGGGGCGTACCAAAGAGACCATCTTATCACAAGCAGAACTGGTTTGTAAGCTGTTGGGGGAAGAATCAGTTTTGTTGTGTGTTTCCTTGACTGATGAAGCCTTCCAGACAGAAGGCGAAACGTTTTAGCACAAAAAAAGAAACTGTCCAGATGATCTGACTGAAAAATGTTGGATTGTACACCTGGATTATTGAGCATGGTCTTTGTTGGTAGTGTTCAATATTTTCAGTCAGAAGGAATGAAAACAGTCATATCTCAGCCAAAAATTGGTTTATAGATGGGGGAAAAAAACACATCATCGTAAGTCACAGGGCATGCAAATTATGCAAAATAAATGCAATTCATAGGGCAAAAAATGTGGTATGTTTCTTTGTAGCCAAAGTGGTAGCACTGCAATAAGAAAGATGAAAAAAGGTGAAATGTATTTGACACAAAATATATAGACTGAAGCAGCTAAGGGCGTCTATGTGTTACTTTGTCTATCACAGATCCTCAAACATACTGCAAAGTGTGCATAAGTGTCAGCAATATTCCTTGCTTTTATTTAACAGCACATTGCATCTTGGGACTTGTGGTTTGTCTGAACTAGCCTGTCTGTGTCGCTGCCTGCAGCCTGCACCAAAGGGAATGGTGTTCCTCACTGAACACAGCCTCATTTATCTCTGTGGCAGAGTCCTTCCTCTCCAGCAGTGGTCCTTCTGGACCCCTGAACTGCTGACACGGGGCCCCCCCTTCTTTTACTCCTTCCTTTGAGCTTCAGCATGCAGCAAAATTGTGAGATGCGTTTCATCTGCATATTGATTAGCTTGGCCGAAAGAAAACAGAACCTCAGCACTTCACTGAATACATAATGTAAAGTTGTAATTCAGCTTAAACTCTCCTGAAATGTTTAACGTGAAGCAGGTGCTATCCAAGAAAATTTGTTTGCACAAGAAGTCCATAAAATGTTTATCACCATAACAAAGAACCAATTAGGGAAAAAAAACTGATCTTAAAAATATTTCTGTCCAGGTGAAGCAAAGCATAAACAAGGAAGAAAAAAATAACTTTGCCCCATTTTGCCTCCATCACCCAATAAAGGCAGGCCGTGATGTGTGTGTGTGTGGGCAGGCTGTAGTGCCAGGCAGTTGAACTGCAGACGGCTGGGCGCTGGGTTGTCTGATGGATGGCTTACACTCAGTGAGGACTGAACCAATGGCGTCCTGGATTGATTGGCCCAAAGGGGCCGTCGGGGAAAGCACTTCCTGTGTGTGTTAATGGACGCTCCTGCAGATGCATCATGGCGGCTTGCGGCAGGGTGATGGTTGTTTCTCCCTCTCTTCCCACCAAACCTCCTCCCCCATATTTTTCTTTTCTCAGTTAATCAGAGGAGAGTAAAGTGAAATGAGCCAGGCCTAACAAGCGGCACATGATCTGAGCAGCTCACTAACAATACATCCTGAAAAAAAACCTCTCACCAAGCCTCATAATTAGAAGGTTCATAAAAATCCTGTAATTTATAATGTTTAATCTGGTACCAGTTATTTCTTGAAATTTAGTGCTACTATAAATCACTCAAGGTCAGAGAACTTTTCTAGTAAAGATTTTTGGAGAACCTTTAATGCTATTATTTCAAATTTTGTTCCCTTCTTTAAAATGGCAAATGACTCATAAGGAAGGAATGAACACGTTACTATTCGTTCTTCAACAACAGTGTTTCCAAAATAATTGGAACCCTGGGAAACAAGTCGGTACAAAAAAAATGCTGATTTTTTTCTTCTAAAAGCTCATTCTTGTACTTATTTTAAAACAGAACAAATGCAGAGAAATATACTTGATTTTGACTAAATAAAAAATAAAATAAATTTGACAGCTAAAAGCTATCACTTTTTGTCAAAACTGTAAGCTTTAATCGCCTGAAGAAATCAACTGGTTTAATTTTTTTTTTAAATAAATGTCTTTTAGATTGATTTTGCACGATGCTGAATTCGAATTATGGATACAAAAACAAACTTCATCCACTGAACAAAACTTAGAGAACTATTTTCCAACTTGCTCGTTCAGAGTGGTTGCCCTCTCCATCTTTAATTTGTAAATGTACTCAAGTTATACTCAATAATGCTACTGATTTATTTTAGTTACATCTATAGTTGTAAGATATTTTACATTTACCCAAACTGTTTGAAATCAATTCTAAAATGACAAAATGAGCTTATACCTGTGAATATGTGTGTGTTCTTAACATTTGATATAAAGTAAATGACCAAGATTAAAGCATTTAACAATCACTGCATTTTCCTTTTTTTTTTTTTTTTTTAAATCTAGACTAGCTTGTAGCTAGGCCTGTCACAGTAACAAATTTTGCTGGTCGATTAATTGTCTCAGAAATTATTGCGATAAACAATAATATTGTTTGAAATTTGACAATAATTATTAATTATTGTCAAATTTAAGAAGAAATGTTGGTTAATTTTATGTGTAGTATCTTTTTTGGGACACTGGATGGCAGTATAAGACTGCTTGAACCGAAGGATGGATAGTGAGGGAGCGAGCAGCGTGTCTTTTTAAGAAAAATGGGAGGGAGGCCCCTTGACGTGACATGGGCTGTCTCTCCTTCCTGTTTTTCAGTTCTCAAAATGGTTGACGCTCTGTGTGGTTTGAGTTCTTTTAACATATTTTTTTTAATTAAAAGCTTTGTGTGAAAAATGCTATCAGTAAACAAGTTCTCAGCTACTTTTTGCAGACAAAAACAACTTTTTACACGAAGGCACGGGTTTCAACCATGAATTTTGGAGATTTGACAAGACAGAGGTTTTTTTTTCCTGAGATTGGCCTGTTAGCTTAGCTCTTAGCTTAGCTTCTCAGCTTAGCTGCTTTTAACGATCCAAAAACGCAATTTAGGATGGTTAAAACAGATTTTAAAGCGAAAGGGAGGGGTCAGTGAAGAGCACCGGAGTTGAGCCTTTTGTCATCCAGTGTCTTCAGTAGAGAGAGAGAGACACGAAGAAACGATAAAGCTGATAAATTAAAAAGAATTTTCTTTTATCATGGGATTAATTGATTTATTGTTTATCGTGACAGGCATAAGTGAACGTTGGACTTAAAGCAGGTTTTCTTTGTGGTAACTGTCCAAATATACTGTATCTTGCAACTGATTCACATACTTTTAAAAATGTGCAGCACATCTTTTCAGCTGTCTTATTTGAAATAGACTAAGAATAAGAACAGTCAAAACAGAGTGCAAATAAATAACAGAAAGCTCTGGACGAGTGCTTGAACAAGAGAATGAAAAACACTCTAAAGCGCTTTCAAGAACCTGTACATGACATTCAAAAAGATGCTATACAGCTGTGGACCACTCACCACACATTGAATCAATACACCATTATGTGTGAGAGCAGCATTTCTTGGATCACAGTGTTTGTAACCACTTTTCAAACTGTTCTAGATACATATTTTTTAGAGCCTTGCAGAAAATGTAGCCGCAGACCTTTTTTTACTTTCTATGCAAGACGCATCGTTTCTGCAGGGAAGCAGAACCTCTTCTGAGTGCATTATGATCAGAATACCAGCAAGCTCCAACTGTTGAAGCAGCTAATTTGACTAAACAGATTTGGTAAGGGGCAGCACGGTGGCGCAGTTGTTAGAGCTGCTGCCTCTCAGCGAGCCCCAGTTCAAATCCCAGCTGGGGGCCTTTCTGGGTGGAGTTTACAGGTTCTCTCTGTGCATGCATGGGTTTTCTCCCAGTACTCTGGTTTCCTCCCACAGACCAAAAACATGCATGTTAGACTGATTGGTAACTCTAAACTGTCCCTAGGTGTGAGTGAGAGAGTGAATGGTTGTTTGTCTCGTTTGTCTCATGTGTCCTTGGATGGACTGAAGACCTGTCCGGGGTGTCCCCTGTCTCTCACACAGTGATATCTGGACATGGGCACCAGTGACCACCACAACCCAAAAAGGAAGAAGCGAGTAAAAGACAATAGATGGATGATAGATTTGGTAGGGTGAGGTTCTGCCTCAAGTGCAGGAGTTCAAGTATCGCAGGGTTTTGTTCACGAGATAGTGAGAAGTTCAGGTATCTGGGAGAAACTCGCAGTAGAACCACTGCTCCTCCACATCGAAAGGAGCCAGTTGAGGTGGTTCAGGCATCTGGTAAGAATGCTTCCTGGACGCCCCCCTAGAAGGTGCTTCGGACATGTCCAACTGGAGACCCCAGGGAAGACCCAGGACACGCTGGAGAGACTATGTCTCTCGGTTGAACAGGGAATGCCTTGGTATCCTCCCAGAACAGCTGGAAGAGGTGGCAGAAGGAGATGTCTGGGTCTCCCTGCTCAAGCTGCTGCACCCACAACCCGACTTTGGAACAAGTGGAAGATAATGGATGGATGGATTTGGTTTCCTAATACCTGACCAGTCTCTTCAATGAACAAGAAGCATTACTAAAATCAATGTCTCAGACAATAATGTGATTTAGAGAAATATTTGGCTTTCTGTCCCTTTCAATGTAAAAGTCACAACTTGGAATATTAAAAAAAAAAAAAGTATAAAATGTCAAAAGAAAACGGCATGATGAATTTCCTGGATAAAGTTGATTAAAAACAAGAATGAGTGAATATTATACCCAAATCTTCCCAGCTGCTCCAGTTCAGGCACAGGAGGCCCGTAGGTTTCAATTTGAATAGGTTTGTAGTGGTACAGCACTTCCTCTATCCTGGGCACAGGCTGAAGAGACACATTCTGCCGCTGAAAAACAAACACAAGCAGTACAATAATCATGATGTGCAGTAAAAAACTGACTAGCTTTCCTTCCGGGAATGAATATCGCCCACTGCCTTCCATGCCAATGTTTTAGACTAAGATAACCTTATGTTCAGAAATAACTGAGTTATAGCTATTTTTGGCAAACATTGACAATTATGCACAATCTCACGCATTATTGCAATATCTTGCGTAATCTGTTAGTGCTTGGAGTATGTGTTGTGAACAACTGTCATCTACTGCCACACCAAGGTTTAGCAGTTAATAACTGCTTCTGAGTTTTTTTTAATCTACCCAATGGACGGGATATTTTGTTTACAGACAAACAGGATTGGCTCCAAAAAAATAACTCCAAGGTTTTGAGCAAAGATGTTGCACAACGTGTTGTGTTCAAAGTATAAGTTGGAGATGATGCTCGGCAACTCAAACATCAAATTTTAGCTCAGTTTATGTAAAATAAGTTAATTTGTATTTCTTAAGGTAAATTGTTTGTGGCAGACATCTTGAATTGTGTTGACTCCAAAAGTAAATATCAACTCAATGATTATTTTTTGAAAGTTTCATTAAAATATGCTCAGTGATTGAGGATATTTTAGTAATGGATCAGACAAACAACAAAAACAGCATCACTCCACATTTAGCAACAGGCAAAAAGAAGGGTTTTTAAAAATATTTTATAGGGATTAAAGAGTTCTGTCTTTTCTCCATAATTTGGTAGAGAAACACTATGACTGTTTTTATTGGTCAACTCTTTGTGAGCAACTAAACAATGGACATTTTAACTAGAAGGAAAGAAGTCAGAGCCATTATATAAATACAAATGTTTCCCTGCTGGTTCACTTGGACATAAGATGGGCAACGTTTCATACCAAGCACTGTACTGTGCTCTTCAAACAAAACAGAGGGAACAGTCCCTCAAATTTATGATTTCAATAAGACTTGACCGTGGTATTTAAAGAAAAATAAGAAACTCCACAACAATAATGTGAAACTGTTCGATCTGTGGCTAAGCCGTCAAAGAGGGAATTTCCACACAGCGTTTTCCCCAACATTAAAGAAACAAGAAGCAGAAGACAAGCCAGTGACAAAACCTGGAATTAAAAAAGCTGATGTTTAAACAAGCATTAGCTATTTCAGAGAGCAGCGAAGGAACTCAAGAGACAAAGAGAAGATAAAAAGATAAGAAAGAAAGCAAAGAAAAAAGAAATGGGGGAGAATAAACAACAGAACACAGAGGGGAGTTGATGAAAACCACACTAAACAAGTAACATGTGCCCTGCGGCCACAGACTGCCCTGCCCGCCATCACATATGCTGCGGCTTATGTGATCACACACACACATGCAGACACAAGCACACGGTAATAAAGCGACCAAAGAAGGTACTACAAAGAATGAAAGGGATGTGCAATGGCTCAATAGTACATGCAGTTTTCCTGGTCAATACAAACAAAACAATAAGTGTTGAGACACAGAGAAAGTACCATAAAATCAGCAAAACTCTATAAAATGTTCTTTATTTAATTGTAAATAAAATGTCTTTCTTTATTTAAACTTTGATTTCCAATTCTATTAAGTAGATTTTGGTAATGGGACCAATATACGTTGCTAAACTGTCCCAAAAGTTTCCATACTGGAATACGATCATTTCCCAAATATTTGCTAGAATAATATTTATGCTTGGGTAGGAGAGCATCTACAGTAATAGAGCATTTTTTCCACAAAATTTAAATTCTTATTACCAGAATAAGTTTCAGTGTTTCATCTATCTTAACAGAACATGTCCAAACCTGTTACTTTGTGCAGTAGCTTTTGTTGTTGTTGTTGTTGTTGTTGTTGTTGTTGTTGCGGAGGTGGGGATAGCAGCCGAGACAGTGACAGCAAATTAACAGAAATAAAGTGGGGTTTTTCCAGGGAAGAGCTCATCAAAGCAGAATTTCTACCTTGAACAACACGACTATTTTATGTACATCTCAGGCGTACAATGACATCTCAAAACTAGAACTACAGGTTCTGGTCTTTGACATTATTAAGTCTTCCTTTGTAAAATAATGATAATCCCTCCAGTTAAACCAAACAAAATGCATAGTTTGTCAAGTTTGGCCACATAAACTCACAAAATGATTAGAAGAAAAGAAAAATGTTGTATTTTTAATATTTACTTTGGAATATTTCTTGTATTTTTTTACTTTTGTTGTCATTTTAATTTTGTGTTTAACTGAATGGTAAAGTAATTTGTCAACTGCTGTTATTTTTCTGTACTAAAGGTCCAGTGCTTGGACCAGTACTCTTTACTTTATATTTGCTTCCATTAGGTAAAGTTATTAAACAGCATGGGATAAATTTTCATTGTTATGCTGATGACACACAGTTATATTTGTCCATGAAACCCAATGAATCCAATCAGTTACTTAGACTACAAGCATGTCTTAAAGACATAAAAACCTGGATGACTCTTAAATTTTCTCCTTTTGAACACAGTTAAGACTGAGGTTTTAGTTTTTGGACCTGAGCATCTTAGGAATTAAGTTTTCAGTCCTTCTCCCTCCTTAGATGGCATTAATCTGTCCTCCAGTTCTAATGTTAAAATCTTGGTGTTATTTTTGATCAGGACATATGTCTTTTATCCCCCACATTAAAAACGTTAATAGAACCATCTTCTTCCATCTGCGTAATATCACTAAAATTAGAAACATCTTATCTAAAACTGATGCAGAAAAACTGGTTCATGCATTTGTCACGTCTAGACTGGACTATTGTAATGGTTTATTATCTGGGTGTCAAAATACTTCTTTAAAAAGTCTTCAGTTGATCCAAAATGCTGCTGCCAGAGTCTCTTAACTGGAGTTAGTAGGAGAGATCATATCTCCAGTTTTAGCTTCTCTCCATTGGCTCCCTGTCAAATCTAGAATTGAACTCAAAATCTTACTTCTAACCTACAAAGCTCTCAACAACCTAGCTCCATCTTATATTTGAGATCTAATTGTTCCACAGTTTCCTAACAGAGCACTTCACTCTCAGACTGCAGGCTATCTCGTGGTCCTTAGAGTTTACAAAAGCAGAATGGGAGGCAGCTCTTCCAGTTATCAGGCTCCTCTCTTGTGGAACCAACTTCCAGTTTCTGTCCGTGAGGCTGAAACATTGTCCAGTTTTAAGACTGGGCTTAAGACTTTCCTTTTTGGTAATGGTTAGGATTTGCAGCTACCTTAAGCTTAAACTACTGGAGGACAAATTGACCTCATTTCCTTAAACGAATTGTTAAAATTAAATAGTTTTCATTTGATGTTGTTTTTATCTTAACGTGTAATTCTTGTCCTGCCATTGTGTATCTGTTCCTACCAAACCCAGCCGGTCGAAGCAGATGGCCGCTTGTTCTGAGCCTGGTTCTGCCAAATGTTTCTTCCTCACGAGAGAGTTTTTTCTTCCCACTGTCTCCTTCATGCTTGCTCAAGATGAGACTTCAGTGATGGAGTTAAATTAAAAGTAGTCTGCCCCTCAGATAAATAATGTTAAATTATTATTTTATATATGAATGTTTCTGTTCAGTGCCTTGAGGCAACTTCTGTTGTGACTTGGCGCTGTATAAATGAAATAAACAAAACTAAACTGAACTACTATAGAAATAAAACTGACATTTTAGACCATAGTACAGTTCTGCACAATTTACTTCCTTTTTAAGTGCCGTTAAGTTTTTACAGTGGGGGGTTTGAGAAGTGTTTTAATAAAACATAAGAAATGCACTTCTCTCTAGTTTTTACTCAACCTTTAACCCAAAGGTGTCCTTGTGAACAGTCATCCCATCAGTTAATCCAACTCACAGCAGCTCCACCTCATCTTAATGAAATCCAGACCATAAACTCCCATTACAGTCACTATCCCTCTCTTTCACACTCCTTTGGTCTCTTCATCCATCTTCTTCAGACTTTCAACACTGTTTCTCTTCCCTACTGCGCCAGTCAAGGAGATGCACTGGGACCAAGGTGCCGAGGAAGACGCACAAAGTCCACAAGTGAAGGAGCTACACAGAAAGTGAGCAGCAAATTGGGAGTTGCAGACAGCTCAACTTCAGTAAATCAGATTTTTAAGTGACAGTATGGCCTGAACCCCTCCTCCCACCAGTGTGGAGAAATCAGTTGCATTCTTTAGCAAGGGCACCTTAAAAATTGGCATACGGCCACATTGGCAGGTCCAAACACAGCTTAAACCATTGTTACACAAAAACATAATGAATAAAATCACAAAACATGAGCCAAACTAACATTTGTTGTACTTCTAAATGTATTTGATAGAAGAAAAGCAACTAAGTGTCTATAAACACAGAACTGCTCTCGCAGGGCTACCTTCCAATAATATGTATTGAAAAACTCAAACACGAACTGATCCCCTCCCTGTGTGAATTACAACATACAAGTGTTGTTTTCAAAAATGCTCCAGAGCAAGAAAGCAACACAAAGGGGCGATAGAGAGGACCCTCAGCCAGGCCCAGCAGAGCGGGAATGACTGCAGGACCCAGGGTCTTTGGAACAACGACTGAAAGAGCCAGTCTACACATCTGCTTTAATCATCACAGAGACCCATCCAACTACCTATACAGCACTGCGTACATTTTAAGTTTGTGTATGTACTAGTACTTAAATTCTTATGATACTCTTGTGGCACTAAAGTGAAACTCTGGGGGCCATTAATCTTAATAAAACCGTAGGGGGGATGATTTGAGGAAATCACTGCTGCGCCATTGGGAAGAAGCAGGACGTGGAGGGATATTCCCTAAAGAAAGTTATAGTTTTATTGAAAAATAAAAAAGGCACAGATTTAAAAATGGAACTGATTTTAAAAGCCAAATAAAGCGGTCACATGTTCCAACTCACAAGCTTTTGAAAATAAAGGCAATATATCAAACAGTTGTACATCTTCCAGCCTGTATTTTTGTGACTGACCGCAACACTTCTTTCTCAACTCTTTTGTTTGTCTTACCAATGCAAGTGAA